AAAACAAGAGATGCAAGGCACCTCACATACCTTATTGACTGTGAGAACAATAATTATTGTTTCCAAGACTGGAGTTAAGAGAGAGAACCCCAATGTTGCAAAATCTCCATAACACTCCAAGGAGACACCTAGTGTACATGTACACCTACATCAACCCTTTGTAAAAAACTTACAAGTGACAACAAGGAAAATATTGGATGAATATTAGAGTTTTATTTATGTGGAAATTGTGGTGGGTATATACAAAGAGTGTCTGCTCATGACATACTAACCACAACTGTTTGACAACTTTTAACAATCAGTGTAAAAACATATTAAGACATTAATGCTGAGAACAGGTAAGATATTGTTTCAGATGACACAAACTGCACACAAACAAGCTTCCCCTTAAAAGGGAGAACATCGTCTTTTAAAACTGTTCCTTTAGAGGGTTTTGAAAACAAACATTTTTAGCTCAACTTTGTCACTGCACTGGGTTATTACATTAAAATACTTAAAGGACTAAAACTACAGTCATGTACACTACAATATAGTTTTAATCTGTTTTTTAAACGATTGCTGAAATTATTGAATATTATTTTTGTCAGAGATAAAGTAACAAAATAAATCTCTTCCAAAAACCCCCAACTAATGACTCTATCTTCTTGTTAAAAACATGCCTTAAATAACCACTTTGGAATAACCATCGCATCAAAAAGCTTCTAGTGGTTGGTCAAAACATTTTACTGCCTATTTCACACAATTTTGTTTGAAATAAGTTGCATCATTCCATATTGATTAACACCAGATTTCTCCTAAAATCAGTTGATTAAACAAAAAAATTCTCAACAGTAATGAGAATTCAGAAGTTCCACAGTTTAAGGCCAAAGAGAAAAAAAAAACGATGGGGAAGAGTGAATGATGCATAATGTAATTTTCTTCCTCAAAAAAATATATTCAAGACAAATTAAAATAAATAAAATATCAAAAATTTGTTATACCATGAAATACCATTCATCATCAAACAAGTGGTGTAAAAAAATCATGAAAAGACAGTCCAAAAATAATTTACAATGTCCAGAGAATACACCCAATAAAAATTTGAGCATACACGTATAAAAGACAGTTGCTCAACGCATATC